GCAAACCAGACATGCCCTAAAGGCATTTCGAGCCTCCAAAAAAAAAAAAAAAAAAAAAAAAATCCCAAAAAAAAAAAAAAAAACCAAACAAAAAACCCTACACTAGTTTTACCCCACTGTAACTGGTGAAGATACTTTGCATGATTCATTTTTGGTGAACTGGTTACTATTTATTTTATGGCCTAATGTGGAATTTGCCCCGGAGAATGTTCCACAAGCACTAGAAAAGGCATAATTTACTCTTGTTGGGACAGAGTGTTCTGTACATGTGTCATGTCCATTTTACTTAATTGTTAATAAGGTATTTTATAAAGAAAAAGAATATATTTTAAAAAATGAGTAGGGTTAAAGGGAGGGCTGGGAATAGGGGAAATAAGCCAAGTTATATCACATACAACTACAAATTCTCTACAATAAATGTGATCATTGTGTAGCTCTAGAATGTACCAATAAAATCTGATTTAAAAATAAAATGATGGGGGAGTAGATGGGGAAAAGGGGAAGTAATTCCTAGATATTGTTTACTTTAAGGTTTCTGTCTTGATTTATAGAAGAAGTGCATTTGATCATAGACTTAAGCATTTAAAATTAATAGTGTGTGTGTGTTTGTGTGTATGTGTGTGTATAGGTGGTACTTGGGATCAAACCCAGAACCTCAAGCATACAAGGGAAGTACTCCACCACTTAGCTGTATTCTCAATTATGTATATGTATTTTAATAAAACATATTTTATATACTTAAACATTTAAAATTATTTTAACAAAAACTAAAAACACTTATCATCTTAAGAGATAAAACATTTTGCTGTATAGTCTTTCAATCTTTTTTGCACATTTTTCTTGAATTTAAGCACCAACTTAAGGCAGCAAAAAAAAAAGTACTAAAAACAAATTTGTTAATTTTTGAGAAGTATGTTAAAATACACCTGCAACAAATATTACGTAAAAATATCCTAAATTTTTATCAGTAATTACTTTAAAGAAGGTAAGGAAAGGACGAAGGTTGTTAAGAGGACAAAGACTATTTTAGCTTTATCTCATTAAATAAAAAAAGATTCTATTAAGTTTCTAAAATTTGAAAAATTTTAATTCCAAAACATATTTATGTTTTCAAGTAAATGATTCTAAGGCATCATTTCTCTGAAGTTTTAATAATACAATGATTGCACCAATCTCAGAGTGGTCCCAGTGAGTATTTCTGTTACAAGAATGAATCTCTAGGAAAAGTTATGTTAGGATAACACACACACACACACACACACACAGAAAAATAGACAGAAAGACAGACAGAGACAGAGACAGAGACAGAGACATGAATGATTTGGTGAGGCAGCTACAGGATACTGGATAATTAACAGAAGTGCTTAATCCATAAAGACAAGCAACCGACAGTGCTGATGCTAACAGGCTTTATCTCTAAAAATGCAAAGCCCCAGTTTTTAAAAGTTTCTGTTAGATGCAGAGCTTTGGGATATTCTGGTTTGGTATTTAAACATTAAGGTCTACCAGTTTTCTAGAAATACCCAAATGTGGAGTAGGTCACAGTAAAATCAAAGCATGGCCTTACTTGAAAATATTCAGGTTTACCTGGACTACAAAAAAGTCTTGGCAACAGCGGTTATAAAAACCTCTCACATGATTCTAATGTGCAATGAGACCTTTAAAAAGTTTCAATATCCAGGGTATACTATCCCAGATCAGCTATGTTGTAATTCGGGACATGGAACAATGCGATGGCTGATAGCCACATGGACCTTCAAAGCCTCATGTGGTCATAGAAGGGGAGTTTTGAAGGTGTCTGGATTAGTGTGTGTGAATGTGGATTAAGGGTGCAATAATCGGATTCAGGGCATGGGTAGTGGAGGCCCCACCTGGTATGGGTGGCACCAATCAATAGGCTTGTAGTTTGGGTGGAATACAGAGACCGAAGCGAAGCGTGCTGCTGCTTGTTGCCGTCTGCCCAGCACACCATGGACTATTTCTCTATGATGCCCCTCTGCCATGCTGCCCTGCTTTGGAGCCAGCTGACTATGGACGGCAGTCTCTACAGACCAAGAGCTAAAATACACCTTTCCTCCCTTAACTTGTGGGTGTTAAATATTTTGTCTCAGAAATGAGAAAAGTAACCAAGAGAAATTTGCTGAAATCTGTATCAGAGCTCAGATACAAGTGACTTTTAAAAATTATGTCCACTTTCTATATCCAAAGTTCAAAACCACTAGTTGTAAGCTATTAAGTTAAATGTTTTAAGAATTACGGGTGTAAACTATTTTGTTTTTTTGCTCAAATCAAGTCAGTTCTAGATCATCATTATAGAAAAGTCACCAATAAAGAGTTCTAAACATATCCACTTCAGTGGTAGCTTATTTATGGAATTCTCTCTTGATTTCTTTAAGAATGAAAAAGGGCCAGGGGAAGAAAATACAGAAATTACATGAGAAATATTTAAAATGGCTTTAGTCAAATAATTTGCTCCATGTCAAAATCTTTGCACAATACAGGTAAGTCACAGTGAAGAACAAAGTTGAAAAGCAGAATGCAATCTAGTTGAGGGTTAATGAATGTAAAGGTGAGCACAGCTCAGGTACGGAAAAAGCAATCATGGCACTTTCTAGTAACTTACAAAAACTTAAAAAAGAAAACTGACAACAAGCTTCCAGTGACTCTTTGGTAACTTCAGAATACCATGCTAAAGCAGATTTTTATGTACATTTCAAAGAAAACTAGGAAGTGCACTGAACATGAATTCAAAAGTGTATATCAGGGTGCACATTGTTAAGATAAAATTTGTTCTTTCTTTAGCTACACCGAATATTTTCAAACTTATAATGGTCAAGTAGAAAAGGCATTTATCTTTTGTTATTACTAATTTGGAAGATGGAAGAAAAAATGTGGAGCAGGCCATACAATTCACTAGGGACCAACCTCCACACATTTCAAAATTAGAAGTGGCAAGGCCATGGCAGTTCAGGATACTACACGCAAGCTTCTGTACACACCAGCTTATCTCGAACCACTGAAAACAGAGCAACTGACATAGTGGTGTTTCCCTGTTCCAAAAGACACTTTCACATTTCACCACTTTTAGATCTTACACTGGTTTACAAAAGAAAAACCAAACATATTGACTATGTAGAACTTTCAGTTCAATATGCAACAGAATATAGGAAAAATATTGCTCCGCTGTTTTAAGAAGCTACATTCAGTAGAAGAAAAATATACATAAAATATGCATTTGTTTCTTCCTAGAAAGACATCAGCTGTTACAGGGAGTTGATGGAAGAAAAAAATGTCTGATACCACTACAATGGAATATGAAAGGAGCTGGCATTTACATTTTGGCATTACAACTAGGATTCTTAGGATGAAACTTAGAATAGCAAATTTAGCTGCACTCAACCAGTTCCAACCTTTGGAAATTAAGTAAAGTTCACTCTCTGGGCCAAAAACCACAAGCTACTGTTGGGAGAAGGAGGGCAGTAAGAATAGAAGAAAACAGATTCACCGCATTGTTATCTAGAATAGGTTTTCCTGATATGTACTTTGCTGTATTGGTTGGACTGTTGACCACCATGCCAGTATTTTCATCCAAGCCTAGAGTGGAAAAGAAACAAACAGAAGATCTGAGTGGCTGATTTAAAACAAGAACAAATTAGCTTTCTTTCTGTAAAGGAGATGATCTTTGAAAGATTATCAGTATCCTGTGAAGTGACCCTGGTAGATACTTCACATGATGAGATATATGGAGCCCCTACTTTAAAAAAGCCTGTTTGAATCAATGAGTCTCAGCGCATCCCAACGCTGTTCTGTCAGTACCTTACTGTTCTAGGAGTAAATGAGAGAACATGAAAAGCTGACAGTATGAACCTGCCAAGTGTGGGCTGTCTTCTTGGTGCTCCTCTCTAACACCAACCTATGAAACCTCTGTGGCAGGACTTGAGTCTGTGACCTCCACACTATACACAAGGCCTGGCGAGGTGTGGGCACCAAAGGAGGCTTTTATGGTTTAAAAGTTTGTGTCCTTCCAAAATTCATGTTAGGATTCAAGGCCCACTGTATTTGCATGAAGCAGGGCCTTTTGGAAATATTCCAATCATGAGGGGACCAACCTTAAAAACAGGTCTACTGCCCTTACAAGAGATCTCCGAAGAGCTGCCTCATGCCTTGCACCTTGTGAGGATGCATACCGAGGTGCATGGGAGCAGAGAGCAAGCCTTCACCATGCCCCACCTGCTGGTGCATTAACTTTGAAATTCCTGTATCCAGAGCTAGGAAGAATAAATCTCTGCTCTTTGTAATTACCTAGCCTATGGCCCTATTTTTAATAGCAGCATGAACAGAAGGCACCCAATGATATGCACAATGAATTAACCTGGTCCTACTGCTTACAGTGTTTCTTTAAACCACTGAATATGTAATATGATTCCCCTCTTAGAGCCTAATGTAGAATAAAACTTATGTTCTTTAAAAAGAAAAGTGGGCTACTGTGTTCTCTCTCAATAGCCTGCTCTCATTCTGCAGAATGTACTTATTTTCTCACGTTTATTTGGCCTAACCTTGCTCTGCAGAACCCGTTCCTTTTACCTTTGATAAATGTAAACCTCTGCTATCGAAGTAAAAAAGAAAAGTGTACTGAGTATGTGGAGTCTCTGACCCTTTAGTGTTAATTAAAACCAGACTGCTTCCTAACGAAACTAAGACATTTTAGAGAACAAACATTCTGATTGGTGGGGAGAGGAGTGAAAGGGGAGGGAGGCTATCGCTGAGTCTGGAGGGCACTAGACCTGCTAGGCTCAGGGGATCCATCTCCAGCCTGACAGCCTGGTATCAACCAACGGAGCAAAGGTGGCTGGCAGTGCGGAGCCAGCATCCATGCGAGGGAATCTGTCAGCATACTGACGGGATGCGAGTGCCTCGGAGGCAAAGCACAGAAAATTTTAGGAAAACTAACTCTACATCTTCCTTCAGAGGCTAAAGCCTCAGCATTGAGCATAGCAAGCACGACTAAGGTCGTAGAAAAGCAGATCATGTTTATATTGTCAAATTAGGTCAGTGATTTATTTATGAAATGGATTTGTAGAAAACAAATGCAACTGAGGTACCTTAAAATGACCTCACCCCAAATACTCCACTTTCCTGACATTAAAAGCAATGGCTTACAAGCAAAAGCATCTGTTCTTTGTGCTACTGTACTCTCCATTCTAATCACTGATCTCAGAACTAACTCTCTTTCAGTTAATTCAACAAGAGAGGGTAAAAACCAAAAATTGTACAAGATACATCGACCTGTCATTTTTGGTCCCTCCGCATCTTGTGTCTTTGGGTTTGTTTTCATTGCTTCAGTTTTTAATTTTCCATTTTTCTTCACCATTTATTAAAAAAATTGTAATAATAAAGTGATGTTCTTACCAGAAAATTGCATTGTTGCTCCTAAATATGAGTCCACAATAGATCCTAGTAATCCAGCTAGACCCCCAAATATAATAATTGGCCACTGAGGAGCAGAAATGTCTAAATCATTCACAAACATCAACTGTGTGAGGAAGTATGTCGTGCCCACGAAAGTTCCACCAAGGAGACTGGAAGCAAGTCCCACCACTGTAACTCCTCCATTGGTCCCTGAAGCAAAACACGCAGCTAGTCATCTGGTTAATGATCAACAGATGTCAACAAGTCAAGGGAAGTGAAAAGCTTGCAGTACTTATTTAAGATTAAAGAAAGGATTCTCTTTCATTTTTAAAATTTTTAACTGACACATACATATCATATATATTTATGGGGTACGATATGACATTTCAATACACATACAATGTAATGTTCAAATAAGGGTAAATGCATCTCTCTCGTCAAATACTTACAATTTCTTTCTTTCTTTTTTTTTGATATTTTAGGCAAGGGTCTACAGGGTTCAGGTCTCACTACTAGATCAGACTCGTGGTGATCCGCCTGTTTACAGCCTCCCAAGAGCTGGGATTACAGGCCAGCGCCACCACGCCCAGTCTTTACAATTTCATTATAGAAAAACACTCAAAAATCCTCTCTCCCAGCCTTTTAGAAATATATACTACATTACTAATACCTCTCATCACCCTACGCTGCAGTATAGTATCAGCAGTTAAACTATAATTTAGTACTTTCCTGATCAACCTTCCAATACCTTGCCCTCTTCTCTGCTCTTCCCAGCTGCTGGTACCCTCACCTCTGTATAATTATTTGTTTTTGCTACAAGGTCTCCCTGCACAGCTCAGGCTTGTAGTGGTCCTCCTGTCTCAGCCTCCCCAGTGATGGCATTATAGGCATGCACCACCACGCCCAGGTTTAGGGCCAGCATGGCAGGAGGTACTAGGGATCAAGTCCAGGTCCTTGCACTTGCCAGGCAGGAGCTTATGCCACCGAGCTATCTCCCCAGCCCAAGGTACCCTCAATTTCAATGAGATAAATTTTGTTAGATTCCATCTGAGTGAGAGAAAGCCATATGTGTTAGAAAGTACTCCTTTTAAAGTAATATCAAGACCACAGACTACTTAGAAAAGCGTGATTTTGCTCTTAAATAACTCTTGAATTCTAAGCAGCAAAACAGAATGGTTAGTGATGACATACCTTTTTTTTTTTCATTTATATATTTATTTGTGTGTGTGTGTGTGTATGTGGCCAGCTCAGCCCACCAGGGGGCGGGGCTGGCTGGCATGTGGTGCTGGTGGATTGAACCGCGGTCCCTGCGCTTCGCTAAGCTTGCTCTAAGTAGGTGCTTTAGACCACTGAGCCATCTCACCAGCCCCCAGACTTACTTTTGTGTATCTTGTTTCCTTGTTCACAGGACGAAAAAAAACCATGATTATTATGAGTACTAAGCAGTGATCCATGTAAAACTGTCAGAACAATGTTTGGCATAGGAAGTACTACAAATATGTTAGCTATTGTAAAAATGATGAAGAGGAAGAAAAAGGGAAGATGACTGTGAAGTAGGAGAAGAGAACTGGGAAGGAAATAAGGGTAAGAGGAAGATGCCAATGAAAAATGTAACAGTAGTTGAGAGTAGTGATGGACAAATTAGACATACAGCGGCTCCTGGTATCCAGCACTGTCTACACAACCCAAAACCCATGGATGCTCAAGTTTCTGAGACAATGTGCTGTAGTATTTGTACACCATCTACACATATCCTACCAGCCACATACTTTAAATCATCCCTAGATTACTTACAATTCTAACATGATGTGAATAACTATTACATGGTACAGGGAATGTTACACCACATATACAGATTTAGCCCTAACTCTCCTACAGCTGTGGATGGGCATTCTGGAGGTGGCTGGGCCTAGGGTGTGTGACACTTTAAGGATGTGAGATGGCTCAGTGGAATAAGTGCTTGCCTGGCAAGTTCGGGGACCTGAGTTCAATCCCCAGTTCCACAAAAAAAAAAAAAAAAAAAAAAGGATGTGATGCGGGCTTAAAGGTGTGTACCTCAAGCATGTGTGCTGGACAAAATATAAGGGACAGAGCAAAGGCTTGCTGTTGCTGCTGTTTCTGCTGCTGCTGCCACTGCTTGCTGCTCTGTTGCCTTCTGCCTGTGCTGTTCTGCTGTAGACTGTCTCTCCTCTGCAATGTCCCCTGCCACATATCCCTGCTTTGGAACTGGCTAAGGACCGAAATCTCTACAAGCTCTGGGCCAAATGATACACCTTTCTTCCTTTAACTTTGGGTGTTGGCTACTTTGTCTCAGAAATGAGAAAAGTAACTAAGACACAGCTTGTAAGTGTTTAGTACCGGTGCTCTTGGAAGGCTATAAACAGGCAGATCACTATGAGTCTGATCTAGTAGTGAGACCCTGAACACTCTGTAGACCCTTCCCCCACCCCCCAAAAAAAAATTACATATGGTGGGCCCTTGACTTATGCCTGGCTTCATCTATGAACAACTTGGGTTATGATCAGAATTTTAGGTTTAACTTAAGACCAAACTCTTGAGTTATGATGCAAATGCCAGCTGCTTCTATGATTGTAGACAAAGACTAGGGGGGCCAGGGAGATGGCTCAGTGGAATCAGCACTTTCCTAGCAAGTGTAAGGGTCTGAGTTCAATCCCCAGTTCCGCCAAAAAAATCCCCAAAAAACCAAAGACTTGCAAGCCCAGAAAAGAGTATGGAAGCATCGGTCTGAACTCAGACATGGGTGTTTGTGCACATGGTTCTGGTCAGTGCCTCACATAATTACTATGATCACTGCTATCAAAATTTAATAACCCAATAAATAAATAAACAAATTAGTTTGGAAAAAAAATTAATAACCCAAAAAGCTAGAAAAGAAGCTAAGGACAGAAGGGAAAACAAAGAAAGCAGTAACAATAGAAAAGAACAGTTTTAAAGACAAAGACAGATACAACCTTAGGCCACCTTTTGGTTTTAAAAAGGATGAGACCTAGAACCAGAAGGTCCTCGAAGGCTAAACTCTTCCAAGGACAAAGCCAGGTTTCTGATGTTCTCATGGAAAGGGACTCTCCTTCCAAACAATTACCGCCTTCCATTTCATCCTACCTTCCTGTAAGCCAAAGATTTCTACTTAAATGGCGAGTTTGGCAGGAAATTGTTTTTGGTACAGTATGTACATTTTATATATTTCTGGTAATTTTGGAAAATTATTGGTATTTTTGGTAAATTATGCATTGTGGAGGACCACTTAAGCAGCTCTCCTGAAAAAAGAGTGATTGCCTCCATTTTGGCTGAACCTGACCCTATTTCCTTGTATTGATATGTACGGTGCTGGCTAGGACTTCTCTTTATCCTTTCAATTTCAATTGCCTTAAGCAATGTATACTGGTCTAGGTGAAAGCAGCTGGTAGTAGTTTCTGAAGGCAGCACCTGTGTTTCTTTGATAACCCACACCTGCTGCTCTTTAATGTGAGCCGGGTTGAGACAGGATGAAGAGCCAGTGCTCCATGCTGCTGGCTGGGATGGAGCCTCGAGAATAGAAGCTTCCTGGGGCTTGAAAGATCACACATCAGAGCCGAAGCACCAGACCCAGAAACCTTAGAAACTATCTCAATAGCATAATGCAGATTACTCTCTCTGCATATCCTCTCTGCATATGGCAGACGTAAATGCAGGCCACCTACCTAGCTCAGCTCACAGGACTCATCTACTTCCCACAATTCTCAGTCATTCCTTCTCAATCCACTCCTCCTCCACTGAATAAAACCTGGATGTGGCCCTGGGTCAGCCTGTTTGTTCCAGAAAGCCATCTTCGTGGCTGGACTTAGGGCCCTCTGGCTCCCCAATAATTATAAATATGTTTTAGTGTCTTTACTTTTGCTGTGGGTTGCACTGGGAGTGGTAGATTGGAATTAATTTGTTGGGATTCCAATAATGTATCTTTTGGGATTATATATATATTGACTTTTTGGACTGAGACAAGAACCAGGAGGGGATTCCAACAATGCCCATTATACAACCTTTTTTATTATGAAAAGGACAGTGAAGGGGTGCTTTGGGATGTTCCGAATGCATTATGGGTATTTCTGGGAAAAACAGTCTTGACTTACAACCAACTTGAGTTATAAATGAATTAATTCACTGATCCATCACAAATGAATTGAGTTTGTAAGTCAAGGATCCACTGTACTAAGTTTTTTTTTTTTAATACTTTTTTTTTAAATTTATTTATTTATTGTGTGTGTGTGGCCAGCTCAGCCCACCAGGGGGCGCGGCTGGCTGGCATGTGGTGCTGGGGATTGAACCGTGGTCCCTGTGCTTTTGCCAAGCTTGTTCCAAGTAGGTGCTTTAGACCACTGAGCCATCTCACCAGCCCTGTACTAAGTTTTTGAAAAATACTGTATTTCTTTTTTAGGTTTTTTTCTTTTTTCAGAACCAGGGATTGAACTTAGGCCCTCTTTTTTAGTTTTTGTTGCCTGGTAGGTCTGTGGGCTAATCTCCATGTTTCTTTAGGTCTAGGTCTATCTCTAATTTATCTAGGCCTTGCTAACATTTCCTACAAATACTTACTATCACCAATTTAACACTCAGAGCGATTTTTCAATTAAAGAGACCAAATAAAATTCTGCAAAGGCTCTAAAATAAGAAATACACCAAATTAAGGAGGCTTTCTTTGATTTTATTTTTTAAAAAAATCCAAAATCAGGACTTACCAACTGGAACCCTCTCCCAGGTTGTAATCAGCCGCGGCTGCCATTTACTCAGAACTGGGGCAACTTCTGAAGCCCAGGTGTCTCCGGCGGAGCAGGCCAGGGCAGCCAAGAGCGACAAGCACATCCAGGAAGCAGTATGTTGCTTGGAAAAGTCGATGGGCATCTCCCCGGGGCCGTTTTCTATCATGTAGAGCAGGGCGAGCTCCGTGGGCACGGCCCCATTGCAGAACACCTGAACCCAATTCCTTTGCCCTCCTGGGCCCAAGCAGACAAAAAGACAAATTTTTGCTCCTCAGAAGGAAAATCACGTAGTGATAGAAACTTGTGGTTTAAGGTTTAAGAAAAATCAGTCAAAAATTTTTAAGACTCAAGGTGGTAGGGCACCTTGGCCCACATTTCCTACCATTACTAATAAATTTAAAATAATGATACTAACATTCTGTTGTTTTCTCCTAGACTATAGTAGGCCACAAAGTCATTCTCAAATAAAATTTACCTGTTTTAGCAGTTTAATCAACGGTTTTGGTTAAAAACTTATGATAGTATGAAATGGTTCACCAGTTTGATTAATGTCAAATGAATCTAATCTTACCTTATTTTTTTTTTTTTTTTGTGGAATGGGGGCTTGAACTCAGGACTGTGCATTTGCCAGGCAAATGCTTATTCTACTGAGCTATTTCCCCAGCCTAATCTTACCTTCTTTATATTCTGAATCTATTCGCTTCTTTGCTTGTCCTTTCCATTTAGTGAGTTTTGAAGAAGAAAGAAAAAACATCAGCAAAGATGTAAAAAAGCTGAAATTTGCAATGGTTAGGATAAATCCAACCACGAGCCCTGAAAGAAACAAACATGGAATTAGAATTAATCCATACATGAATGAACTGTTATTTTTCAGGTATTTGCACATTATACATCTAATGCACATTTTCAAAACGTGTGTATTTTACTGTTTTTTTTTTTAATTTATTTATTTATTTATTTTGTGTGTGTGTGTGTGTGGCCAGCTCAGCCCACCAGGGGGCGGGGCTGGCTGGCATGGGGTGCTGGGGATTGAACTGCGGTCGCTGTGCTTTTGCTTAGCTTAGCTTGTTCTAAGTAGGTGCTTTAGACCACTGAGCCATCTCACCAGCCTCCTGTATTTTACTGTTAATATCAAGCAGTATACTCAATGTTAAACTGGCTAAAGTGATAAGATAGTTTTTTACCATATTTTGATCTCTCAAATTCCCACCCCCTTGCACCCCGGAACTGGGGATGGAACTCAGGGACCTTGTGCTTGCCAGGCAGGTGCTTATGCCACTGAGCTACCTCCTTAGATTCTATTTTAGACACTTTTTCTAATCAAGTTACATACAAGAATAGCATTGTTTAATTACTGAACAACATATACAATACACACTAACTAGATGACTGAGGATTTTCAAACTAACCATATCCTTTTGTGGAAAAGGAGGTTGCATTTTTAAGTTTCTATCTTTTTACATTCTCCTCCCATAATATATAAAGTAGAATTCTATTATATAACAAAGTATATATAAAATAATACAATGATATAAAGTAATATTTTACTACTCATTTAATAAATCTCACATAGACGTTATTAAGTGAGAATTGGGAGGCAGGTTTCTGCTTCCATAATGACCCTTTCCGTTCTAAGAATCTTTCCAAGATTCTTCTAAAGGTGCTCAATTACTAGCATTTTACTTTAGTGCATTCTCATAGTGATCACAGGTATCAGTAATATGGCATAAACCGGCAATGTTTCATCTGTGGAATCAGTCTCGAGTTTATACTCCAGCTTCTCCACTTGCCTGTGTATGACTTGATTCTTTCAGATACAATTCTTTTTATATTTTCATTTTTATTACTATGTGTTTGCAGTATATAATGATTTTAATCATCATGGGGAGGTGGTGCATGTACATATCGTAATTCTTATTGAAGACTTAATTTTGCATTGGTGAAATAAGACTAATTGTTGTATCACTAACTTATTGTCAAGGTGATAAGGTTATTCTTGTAATATGCCTATTATACTACTCAAAATAAAAGATGCCCTTATTAATGTCAATGGTTTTAACAGCAACAGTTCTGGTAGCAAAAGCTCAATAGCAGTAATATAAATGTTACAGTATTACTATCGAATTTATAAATTGTTCAATTAACTTTTTCTTCCTGTTTTTTCTTTTTTCTTTTCTTTTTTTTTTTTTTTTAGACAGGGTTTTACTATGTATGTAATTCATGTTTGTCTCAAATACACAGCAATTACTCTGCCTCGGCCTCCCCAGTACCAGGATTATAGGTATGTGTCACTGTGCCAGGCTCAACTGATTTTTAAAACATTACAAAAGTAATTCCAAGATATTTGAGGGAAGTCAAAACATATGGAAGTATACAAAGTGAAAGGCAAAGTGTCTCCCAAACTATTAACAGTTTATTCTCATCCTTAAATTCAAAACAGAATGGTCCTAAAACGATCTAAATTGAGATTTTACAAAACCCACCTATATCCCTTTTTATTCCAATCAACTTAAAATTCTACAGAAAGCAATCAGTGTTAATACTGTTGACAGCTTTAGACTGAGGAAATGAATTTAACACATGCTTTAAAGACACGGCTTCCTCACGTAGCTTAAAACATGCTGGAAGTTTTGGCAAATCTCTGCTATGTCTGAATTTTTAGATTAGGAGCAGCTGTCTCCAGCTCATTCTAGTTCACCTTCCTTCCACATTTCATGAATCTCTATCACTGATAAGGGGTTCGTATATATAAGAAGAATGCTGCAGTGAGCTTGAAGACTTAAGGATAATACTGCTTTCTTTTTGCGCCTAAGGCAGGTAAATTCCATACTCAACAGGTGCCAACTAAGACTACAAGAGCACCACTGATAGATGTCTGGTAGTGGGAATTAGACCCAAAATTCCTGCTAAGGCAGCCTGAGTACAAATGGGGAGGTAGGACTAAAACTGGTCATCTAATGAATTCATATCTAATCTATGATTCTGTATGTATTCTACCTATAGAAAACAAAAAACAAACATGGGCATCAAAAGGATATTGGCTAGTCTCAAATGCAGAAAATGAAGGCTAGAAGCAAAACAGAGAGGTTAGCACCCTGCTGACCACCACCAAGGGAGGGGACACTTTGACCTGTGGACCTGCACTACTGTTTCTCAGACTTTATATTTATCCAAGCTAACTTCTAATTATAATCTTGCCTTCTCGCTTGGCCTGAACCCAAGAACTGGGCATGTCTGAACAGTAAGCAATGCTTGTATTCCAGTCTGCCTGGTCGGTCCACCTTTTATCAGATTAATAAAGTGGCACTCTGGCTTATAATCAATTCCTTGTGATAATAAGCAACATTCATCTAGTTTTCTTGGCTTTGATCAACTCTGGTTACCTGAAAAAGTGAAGTTTTTACTTTAGAAAGACAACACCAGATCTTAACTAGAGTTGACTCTTGGAATTTTGAATCAATTTAAACTTGCCAAGTCAAAAACTTAATAAAAAACTGTCCATGTTAACAAGTTTAAGGAAAAACTTTCAGTAACTAGAGAGAACTGTCAACAACGGGAAGAATACTTCTTTGGAGTGAATTACCTGACCTGAACTGTGCTTCACACTTTGCAGGCACTCTTCCCACACACCCTGCCTGTGTGACCCTCTCCTCTTTTGGGGGACACTCTCTCCAGAAGATGCCTCTGGCCTGGCCTTTAAGCGCTGCTCCATTCCTCCTCCCCTGTTCTATCAACACTGGAATGTGTTCCTATGTTATGAAGGACTCTGAACACCTGGACTTTCTAGAAAGGTCTGTTACTCTTAGTCATGAATCCCAAGCACACCAAAAGCATATGGCGAACCTTAGTAAATTTCTTATGACTGTGAATTGTAGGGATGGAAGGGACACAACAATAGGAACTGACGGTGATAGACTACAGCTGTCAAGACACTGTGCTAGGCATTTAACATGGATGGTGGCTCACAATAGCTGAGTGCTAGACTTCTCCTTTTATGGAGAGGAATTACAACACTGAGCCTAACAGTCATCCACCAGTCATACTCCCAACTACTATAATACACTCTGAATCAGCATTACATTTTCCTATTACTTCTTTATTTGTTTTTTCGAGACAGTCTTGCCATGTAGTCCAGGCTGGCCTCAAACTTGCAGCAATCCTCCAGCCTCAGCTTCCTAAGTGCTAGGATTACAGGTGTGTACCACCACACTTGGCTCCAGTTTCTTATTCCTAAGGAAAGAAAAGTCCCAGACATTGCCTGGCAAGTGCAAACTCCTACATCCAGTTCTTGGTGAAGAAGGAGGAGAAGGAGAAGGAGAAGGAGGAAGAGGAGGAGGAGGAGGAAGAGGAGAAAGAGGAAGAGGAGGAACAGGAGGAGGAGGAGGAGGAACAGGGGGAGAGGGAGGGGGAGGAGAAGAAGTAGTAGTAGCAGTAGTCGTCGTCGTCCCAAACAATCATTTCATAGAATGAAACGGTTAGGAAAGCAGCCAAGGCTTTACAATTAATGTACATCTGGTTCCTGTGCATCTATTTTTAGCCAGCACTATCCAAAGCACCTAAGACACAGAAACGTAAGATACACTTAGTCTCTAGGAGTTTATAATTTATTAGTTATCCTTTATTCTCAAGTGGATCAAACAGCATATTATAGTATCAGAATACTTTTTTTGTTCTATTTTTATTTTTGTATTTTAGGGAAGGGTCTACAGGGTGTTCAGGGTCTCACTACTAGATCAGACTTCTAGTGATCCGCCTGTTTACAGCCTCCCAAGAGCTGGGATTACAGGTGTGCACCACCACGCCCAGTCTCAATTGCTGTCTCAGCGCACCCTGGGAGTCGGGCCAGCAAGGCAGGTCTGGGGATTGAACCCCTGAGCCTCAACTGAGCTATTTGGCTGGCCCTTTTTTTTTTTTTATTTTTTTTTTTTTTTTGAGACAGGGTCTTGATCAAGCTGGCCTGTATAGACAAGGCAGGCTTTAAACTCACAGCAATCTTTCTGCGTCAGTCTCCCAATGCTGGGATTACAAGTGTTTACCACCACCAAGGCCGGCCTCAGTACTTCTAGAAACATATGTATTATAGTTTTGGTACCTGGCTTTAGAACTTCCACTGTTTGCCTGCATCACATTTGATAATATCTACTGATTAGGGTAGCAGCAAAGGAAAGGCTTCATCAGGTTTGAATACTATTCAATATGAGTAATTCAGTATTAAGAATCCCTGAACCACATATTGGCATAGCTTTCACTCAAGCAAGCTACGCCAATCTACAGCAGAACCCATGTGTTTGTATTTCTGTCAGGAACATGCTTCTCGGGCCGGAGATAGCTCAGCGGCATAAGCACCTGCCTATCAAGCGCAAGGTACTGAGCTTGATCCCTAGACCACAAAAATATGGAATATGCTTCTCTCGGATTGCTTGGCTTTTTCAGAACTCAGCTCTAAATTACACTGTTAGAGGAAAACATCTGATGCTTATCTATAAATGAATGGTCCATATCAACCACTATACACACTTGATATTTTAATTTTTTTCACAAACTCCATCATTCTTTGAGAACTTACAGATTTTATTTACTTGTTATCTATTGGCTTTAAAGAACTAATTTCCATGAGAACTGAAACCCTCTCTGCTCAGAGCAGTAGCCCTTGCTTCTAGTGGGGCAAACAAGTACGTGCTCAGTAAATATTTGCCTAATTCAGTTCTGAAAAACTAATCTATAATACCTAAGTTTGAACTTCTCCATTTGAGATTACTACCAGTAATTTCCAAGATGTATTCTTTCCAACTGTTTCTCTATTTTACACAGAGGAGGAATGCTTCAACACTTTTGCTAGTAGGAGACTAATCTTCCACCTAAAAGAGAAATGTAATCAAGGTCCTCAAAAGTAACTTACTTCTTTTGGGTCCCCCTTTCCAAGATGACAAAAAAAAGAAGGAACAACGGTTATGCCAAAAAGGGCCCTGGTCACGTGCAGCCTGTTCACTGCACAAACTGCGCCCAGTGAGTACCCAAGGATAAGACCATTAAGAAGTTTGTCATTCAGAACACAGTGGAGGCTGCCGCAGTCAGGGACATTTCCAAAGCAAGTGTCCTCGATGGTTAAGTGCTTTCCAAGCTGTATGTGAAGCTGCATTACTGTGTGAGCTGTGCCTTCACAGCAAAGTGGTCAGAAATAGATCTCGTGAAGCCCGTAAGGACCGAACTCCTCCACCCCGATTTAGACCTGCTGGTGTTGCCCCACGACCTCCACCAAAGCCCACGTAAGGGGAGCTGGGGCTTAATGGACTGAAGAAAACTCTTGAGAAAGAAATAATAAAATCAATGTTATACTTTAAAAAAAAAACCTACTTTAAATCAATTACAAAGTTACATTTCTATGACTTACTGAAAGTGTATGTTCCTGAAATTCTGACGAAATGGGAATGTTGACCAATGTATAACTTCACCAATGTCTAAAATACATAACACTGGGGGCCATCGAAATAGCTCAGTGGTCTAAAGCACCTGCTGAGGCCAGCTTAGGCAAGCACGGGGACTGTAGTCTGATCCC